AAATTGATTTAAATTAGAAACAATAATTGAAACACATTAAATAATTGAAACTGCACAATCAATACAATCGAATCAATTGTTCGAAAATCATCTAAATTAAGTTTTACTGTAATAATATTATCATTTAATATTTTTTCTGTATTTATATTTTAATAGTTATCATCATAAAATTGATTTAAATTAGGAACAATTTTTATTTGTTTTCCAAAAATCATTTTTTAATAAAACATAATACATTAAATAATTTATTATGCTATTTTCGATAATTTAATCGAATATTTAGCTGGTTTCTATTACAATAAACCTATTTAAAAATCCCGTAGTGACAAATTCTAAATTACTCCTTCTCTACCTGCTTTGGCCGTCCTGATTACTCCGGCCCCTTAGCCTTGCGCAGGGTTTCAAAGTAAACCAACTCGACCTTCCCCGACTTCGAGCTAGCCATCATTCTTTAATTTTCATTTAAATAGATCACGAGTGTACAGTATATACCAACAATATGGAAATGTCGCTCGAGCAACGTTGCCGTATCGTTTGTATATAATTATTAATTTTATGCAATAGAAGTAGGGTATTCCCATAAAGTACAATTTTTGTTGCAATTATGTTGATTTTAAGTACGATGTGTTTCATTATAGTTTGTTAAAATTTTGAAAATCGGTATATTAAGTTAATAAATCGGTAGGGTTGGCAACGCTGGCACAAACGTTTCTTTGTATCATGAATTAATTTTATTGATTAAATCAAATCATAGCTGTTTTGGTGAAAATAATTTTTGTTTAACGTCTCCGTTTCGTTAACACATGTTTTGCCATTTCTAGGAAACATGATGCAACACGTTTCAAACGTCACGATAACCCAGCGATTCCCAAACTGTGTTCTTTCCATTTCTTCACGAATGGTTTATAAAATGATTTATTAGAATATAATCATAAAATTTCTTTCTAAAAAGTCATTTTCTTCAATAATCCCAANCACAAGAACTTACACTAGACCTAGAACTAAAATCTTTCGGGTTAAGCCGTGCGTTTTTTGAAAAAATGTTTGACGTTTCGGATGCCATGTTGCAACCTTCTTCAGAAACAAGTTTGAAGTCGATGTTATAGTTAAATAAGTTCGATGTTATAGATCGTTGTTTGCTTGCTCTGTATGCTGCTTGTTCATCTTCTTTTTTGCATTATCTTTGTGTATAATTTGTAACTGGTAGATGATAGGCATATAGCTCTGTAATTTTCACAGTTCGAGTAGCTTCCTTTATTATGTATTGGTAAGATGATATTATCTTCCTAATCTTTCGGGATTGTTTCCAACACCCATGCGGTTTTATACATATACTTAGAAGCCACTGCTACCCTTTCATTCCCAAATATTTTATCATATCTGCGTCTATCTTGTCTTTGCAAAATCATACCAACTTTATTTATAAGAACTAAGAAGACTTATAGATACGTCAATATCGAAGTAGATACGAAAATATGAAAATTTGATGAATTTGTTGCGTTTTCAAGCAATTAAAGGAAACCCTTAGGAATCGCAGCAATCTACAAAAAAAAATTTTAGTACAAAAGTTGTAGCAAATTTTATTATTGTCAATATTGCTCTCTTGCATGTTTGCTCTTAAATGCATCAATATCGAGATTGATACGAAAATATGAAAATTTGATGAATCTGTAGCTCTTTCAAGTTATTATAGGTAACACTTGGGAATCGGAGCTCGTTATAAGAAAACTTTTATTTACAAAAATTGTTGCAAATTTTATTGTTAACAATATCGCTCTGTTGCATGTTTGCTCTTAAATGCGTCTATATCGAGGAAGATACGAAAATATGAAAATTTGATGAATTTGTTGCTTTTTCAAGTGATTGAAGGTAACCCTTAGGAATCGCAGCATGTTACAAAAAAACTTTTTAGCACAAAAGTTGTAGCAAATTTTATTGTTAACAGTATTGGTCTCTTTCACTTTAGCTCTTATATGCGTCAATATCGAGGAAAGTACGAAAATATGAAAATTTGATGAATATGTTGCTTTTTTAAGTTATTAAAGGTAACAATTGGGAATCACAGCGTCTTACAAAAAAACTTTTATAATAAAAGTTGTAGCAAATTTTATTGTTAACAATATTGCTCTCTTGCACTTTTGCTCTTAGATGCGTCAATATCTATTTTGAACCGCTTTCAAATTAGGCAGGGGGTTTACTTATGACAAGTACAGTATATACCAACAATATGGAAATGTCGCTCGAGCAACGTTGCCGTATCGTTTGTATATAATTATTAATTTTATGCAATAGAAGTAGGGTATTCCCATAAAGTACAATTTTTGTTGCAATTATGTTGATTTTAAGTACGATGTGTTTCATTATAGTTTGTTAAAATTTTGAAAATCGGTATATTAAGTTAATAAATCGGTAGGGTTGGCAACGCTAGCACAAACGTTTCTTTGTATCATGAATTAATTTTATTGATTAAATCAAATCATAGCTGTTTTGGTGAAAATAATTTTTGTTTAACGTCTCCGTTTCGTTAACACATGTTTTGCCATTTCTAGGAAACATGATGCAACACGTTTCAAACGTCACGATAACCCAGCGATTCCCAAACTGTGTTCTTTCCATTTCTTCACGAATGGTTTATAAAATGATTTATTAGAATATAATCATAAAATTTCTTTCTAAAAAGTCATTTTCTTCAATAATCCCAACAAATTTTTGATTATATTCTTAATGTAAAAATGATTTTTTTGAATTAGTTTTAGAACCACTGAAGTTTAAACCAAACTCAGTTGGTACTCGCCACATTAAAATCAGTCTCTCATCCTCTTTTGTACGAAGTGGCTTTTTGACACATTCACGTGCTTTATTTTAGTTAAAGTGGTTGATTTTTGCAAGATGTTGGATAATCTCCCAGCGGAAATCCTCGAAATGGTTCTTAATCAAGATTGTTTGGATTTTGGTGATTTAATCAACATTTCTTCAACTTGCTCGTTTCTGCACAACTTTATACTCAAAAACAATAATCTTTGGAGGAGGTATTATTACAAGAGGTGGTTTGAAATAGCAGAAAGATCCCCAAAAATTGATAATTACTTCGACGAAGTTTCCTATATTTACAAAATACATCTCGAAATTGATGGGATTTTAACCAGATTAACCTCACTTTGCATGCACAAAGAGGTACTACACCCAGCTGATTTCGCACCATTTATCCACATCATCAAATCGAGGTGTTTAAACGCAGAGTATATGGCGCATTATTTAAGAGAGATCTTAAATGACCCATCAGAAATTAAAACTTACGACGTGGTTCTGTTAAAAACTCCAGGGAATTTAACGATTAAGTATTATAGTTTGGAAACGTTGCGTTATTTGGGACTCGAGAATTTTAGAGTTCTTTGGGAGAAATTTATCTCGTTAGATGAAGATGATCGCATTTTGGAAATTGGTGCTGCAATTTTAATGCAATGGTCCAAACCACAATTTAATATTAAAGTGGAAAATGTTCAAAAAGAATTTGATGAAATTGCAGAGAAAGTTAAAAATTCTTTGAGAATTAATCACCCAAGCCATCCTTTACTGAAAACGAGCGAAGATGACTTAAAATTGTGGCGAAACAAAATCATTAAAGAGAATAAATTTTCTTTGATAGATTCCCAACAAATTTTAGGCACAATTACCGAAGTTATTTCCCAAAACGTTTTTGACAAAGAAAATGATCCAAATTCATTTACTTTAGAAATTTTTGAATTAAAACCTGGATTCGAAATTACTCGCATGGTCATTTTCGAGGGGGTTGCACGAAGATTGGGGGTCAAATTGGAATGGGTTTATGACCCAGATGATTTTTTGTGGCGATTTATCCAACTTGATAACTCAGAAAAGAAAATTTATTACGTTGATGTTTCAAACGGGGGTAAACTCATTTTAGCAGATCGAGGATTAATTGCAAATCCAAATTCATTTTTTAAATCCGAATCAGTAAGTATTTCAATACAACCATCTTTATAACACATTAAAAAAAATTTTAAGGTTCTCAAACGACTCATAAATTATTTGGCAAAATCACCACATCAAGACGATTCCTTAACACCTTCAATTTTAGCATTAAATCTTAGAACTCATCCAAACAAATTACAAGCAAGGTTTGAGTTTAGTGTTTATTACAGGAGATACAACATCGAAATACACCCAGAAACCTATTTATATCACGATGGCTTTCCTCCTCATGGATTGTGTCCAATAAATCCTCCTAAATCGCCCCCCAAAAGAAACATTAACGTTAAATTCGCTGTTGGAATGGTGATGAAGCACAAATTACACAACTACGCATGCGTGATTTATGGCTGCGATAACACTTGCGATAGAAAGTATCGAGAAATACCTTACAAACAATTTAAATTGGACGAATCCCAACCGTTTTATAAAGTTTTATTGGAAGATGGTAGCAAGAGATATGTGGCTCAAGAACATTTGTTGCATAGTGGGTTAAAGGGTGGGTTCGATAAGACTTTGAAAGTTGGAAAGTTTTTTACTCACTTTTTTAAGAATCAATTTGCGCCGAATTACTTTTTAAATGAGGAGTATTCGTATGATATTGAAGTTAGGAAGAAATTTCAACTTTTGGGTTGAAATAAATTAGTTTTAAATAATATATTTTTTTGAGTTGCAATAAAAATTTGTTGACTACGAAATTTCTGTTTTAATCATATTTTCCTGGAAATTTCAATAAAGCTATAATTTAAGATACATAATATATCATGTTATAAATTTCAGTTTTATTTCAACATTTTTTTTCAATATTTTTCCAATCTAACCCAACAATTATTATACATCATTTCAAAAAGAAAGCTTTGAGCTTTAATCTAAAATAAGTCTCATTTCTTAATGTCAATAAACACGGCTTCCAGGAACTTTTAAATTAGCATCTTTTTTGACACTTTTAGGTTATACGAAAATGTAAGTTTTATTTCAACATTTTTTTTTCAATATTTTTCCAATCTAACCCAACAATTATTATACATCAAAGAAAAAAGAACGACATCAAAGAAAGCTTTAATTTAAATCTTTAAAATCTTTATATAATATTGAAATATATTATAATATAATAATTTTAAATTGTATTATAATTTATAATAAGGTCTCAATCTACTAAGTCTCGGTGTTGTTCAACAATTGTTGACTAAAGTCAAATTGTTAATTGTCAGTTACGTGAGGAATTATCATGGACAAGAAAGGAAAAAGGCACCAAATTGGGCAGCAAACATGGAGAGCTGATAGAAAACGACGAAAGTCAGGTCCAGCAAACCGATATCAGATGGATAAAGCTTCAAATATCAGCACATCATCGAAAAAATTAAGTAGCTATGGCGACACTAACGTGACCGTAAATTCAAGTATTGGTTATAAACGTATTAATTTTATTACAGTCTTTTCTTGTATTAGCGAACATGTAAAATGTAAGGAATGTGGAGGTGATATACAATTTTGCGAAGGTAATAAACGAGGACTTGGATTTAAAATTGTAATAAAGTGTCAAACGTGTGTGCCTAAGGAAATAAATTCATGTCCCTTAGTACGAAATGCATATGAGGTAAATCGCCGATTTATTTTCGCAATGCGTTTACTTGGGCTAGGTTTAGCTGGAGCAGAAAAGTTTTGCGCATTTATGGATTTGAAGCGTCCAGTTTTCAAATCATTTTACACTTCCATAGTTTCTCAAATTCATGATGTCATAGAGGTAGTAAGAAAATTATCAATAAAAAAAGCTGGTGAATTGGAAGTAGGATTGACCACTCAAAGCTGCAAAAAGGCTGATGGACTGACTGTTTCTGGCGACGGCACATGGCGTAGTAACAGTGATAGGACACTATTCTAAGAAAGTGCTTGATATTTGCGTCAAGTCAAGATACTGTAAGGCATGTGCTTTGTGGAAAAATAAATCCCATTTATCAGAATATCAAATTTGGCTGGAAGACCATGAGAAGGAATGTGACATTAATCACACTGGCTCCGCAGGAAAAATGGAACCCGATGCAATGATAGAAATTTTTTCAAGAGCTGAAGAATTGCATAAAAAGAAATATATAAATTATATACAAAAACCTATGCCGAAATAGTTAAACAGATTTCACCAGATATTGTAAAAAAGGAATGCGTAAATCACGTACAAAACGTATAGGGACAAGATTACGAAAATGCAAAAAATCTGCAAAGTGCTTAGGAGGTAAACTAACAGCAAACCTTATAAAAGAGCTGACGACATATCATGGTTTAGCAATACGCAGAAATGCAAATTTTGTAGAAAATATGAAGAAAAGTATTTGGGCAACTATCTTACACAAATGCTCTACCGACGAAAAACCTCAACATGATAATTGTCCAATCGGCGCGGAGTCGTGGTGTTCGTAGCAGAAGGCTAACACAGCAGGAAATTTAAATAATTATAAATATAAGCCTGCGATGTCCGCTGAAGTTGCAGCAGCCATCCAGCCAAATATATGAAGATCTGAGTAGAGATGACCTTTTAATCAGGTGTTTAGGTGCTTTTCATCAGAACAATAATGAAAGCTTAAATGATATTATTTGGAAGTTTGCTCCAAAATCATCGTTTAGCGGCGCAACAATTGTCAAAATTGCTACAAATCTGAAATTGATAAAGAGCGCGTGAAGAAAGCCGAACAACAGGCGCGTCGAAATACCCATGAAGGTCGTATTCGTGACTGTTATGACGGTCAAAATATAATTATGGACGTTGAGGCACTTCTATATGGTCCAGAGATTGCTGAATAACAATAAGTGAATCCATTTTTCATTGTAAACAACGTATAATTATACGTTATTTAAAAGTGAAACTTTAAATACGTTTTTCTTTAAATATCTTTTTTCGACCGCGTTGACAGTTAATCAAAAAATCTAACCACTAAATTGATATGAACAAAGTTTCATTTTGTAGAAAAACCGTTTATCTTCAACTGTACGTAGCCATTTTTTATTTGATCAAACAGATCTATACTTATTTTTTTTGTATAGCGAAATTTGCAAAATTTTCTACAATACTTAATTTGCCAATAATTTCTTTATTTTAAAAAATTTTTAAATTTCCCCACGTACAGTTATAGGTAATTATATTTGCCGTTAAATCTTTCTTGGCTTTTCGGTTTTACATGAATCAGTCGACCAATTTGCTGTCAACCAAGAACGCCATGATTTTTTCTGAAGACATCCATTTTGAAGTATTGTATATTGTATATCGAAGATTATAAGTGTTTTTTTTATTTTTGCACTCTTCGACAATCACTCTTCATATGTAATATAACAGATATCTGTTATATAAGTTGTTTTTCTTTAACAAAATCCACAAGAAACTATATTTTTTTAGTCCGTTACAGTGTTCTACCCCCTTAAATTTGGTTGATTTGCCTAGGAATGGTAACACAGGAACGATGCCTCAAATTAAGGTGGTGAACATCAGTCCTGAACTTTATTTTATTAACCAAATAAGGAGGCTTCCAATAAAATATCACTGAATAGACCAGACACAGTTAGTGAGTAGTGCAACTCTGTCCCATTTTCAGCCACCTACAGAGCAATAGCTTATCCGAAATATGTTCTCTACGCCCGATACCATAAATAAAAGGTAAGCAAGAGTTTTGAACTACTTGCACCCTACGAGCACTGTATTACGATAAACACGGACTAAATACAGCACTACAATAATTAAAATGGGAAAGAACTAGTGAATCACACAAAACGCGCTTCAATTCACAAGAAAGAATATTCTTGTTACCATAAAGCGCTTTCAACGATCCAAATGCCCTACCACAAAGCATACCCACATGACCAGAAAAAGACAGCTGCTCTTTGCTGCACCACACCCAGGCTTTTAACAGAAGTTTGAAATATTAATGGCTGATTTAAAATATCAATGTTTTATATATAATATCAACTATATATAATTTAAAGAAAAATTAATGAAAATTAAATCTTAAAGTGCTCCACCAAAAGGTACTACACCTATTATCACCAAGTACGAATTGAGCGCCGTTCGATCTGCTTGGCCATTGGTCGTCAACCCTACCTACGGATCGGACGGTCGCCAACCAACCACAACGCCCGGTTGATAGAGTTTTACCCAAGGGCGCCTATTTAAGGCGGCCGGGTTTCCATCAGCGGTCAATTCCAACCGAACTCCGAAGCGACAACAACAGCGACAACGATAACAGCGACAACAAGCCAGCACTTCAACCGCCAATTCGAAGACGACTCCTTTCGTCTTAAAAAAACCTTTGAGGGTTTTTTTTTGTACATATTTTTGTAAATAAATTATTTCGTTTTATTCAACAACTGTTGTTTCTTCTTCGGCGCAATCCATCCCCCGTAACACTATATATTTACTAGGAACAAAATTCATTCAGTAAAAGTTTAATCTAATAAATTGATTGAAAAATACAATTTACCAACGACTTTCTCAACCTCCCTTTTCCCTCCCATAAGCGTTGATTTTAAAGCAACTAAATATATTCAATAAAAATTATTAAACTAAGCAACGGTTTTAAAAATACTCCAAAAACTAATAAGCAATAACTAATAAATTAATATTCTTGTGTTTTTATTTTATATATTGTTAGGTAATTTTTCAAAATTTTTAATAACGATAATATAAAGTAGGGCGCACTCAAAAACAATGACACTCGTATTAAAAACACTTTATTACGCAAGACGCAATTAGTACAGCAATTGACACGGGGTCCGAACCAAGAATGTATCTTTTCGGAAACTGATAGCGGTTCAGGTGTCGAGGGGCCTTAAGTAAACAAATACCAGGTACACGCTCATTCCCTCTAGACATAAACAGAATGAGCGGGTACAGTCTGTTTCATAAAAAGATCAAATTAAATAACAATTCTTAACAATCTTTAAATTAAAACGCCTAATTGCTAACAATATATATCTATTTTTTTTTATTTTTGATTATTTAATTATTTATTTATTTAATTATTAAATTTTAATTCTATGCGTCGCAAAGGTCGCCAACTCGCTGCGTCTATTCGCCACGACGAGGTCACTCGCGAGGATGAAGTCCGACACTTTCTCCCCGTTATCGTCCAATACGCGATCAAACCACATCGGCGCTCTCGCGTTCACACCGATCACCAATTCGTACCCCGAAAATCGCGTCCAGTTTACCTAGGTACATGTCAATACTTTCCGAGTACTGACATAACAAGGACACTAACACCACCCGCACACTACCCGACTCGCACAACACTACTACACAGTTCTTATCCGTAAGCAACGACACCACATTGACGGTGAGACTGTCATAAAGCACCGCGACTCACGCCCCACACCCGACGCCCTCACACTTGATAACTCTCCCCAGCCCCCTAGTTTCCCACACCACGTTTTTGACGTGATATGGTTCTTGAATTAGCAGAACGTCTATGTGCTACTCAAACGCCACCCTCTCCACCTCACCGCCCGCGACCTCAGACAATTCAGTTGCAACACTTTAAGATTGAACGTAGGCAGTCTTATCACGACGGAATCGGATCTGGCTTTCGAACTCCGGGCACCTGTTAGAAGTGGTGGGGTGATCGCTCGGCCATCCCCTGATCGAGCATAACTTG